TAGGGTTGACCCAGATGAAACCCTAGTTGACTGCACTTCAACTGTGGCTCTTGTACTTGAATCAATGACTTGTCTCATCTTCAATATGACCCTCTAGGAATTTCATAAGCTTTGTACACCTTCATACCCTCAATTCATAGCTCATACCCCCATTGATGACCCTTAATACACCTCCAATTAGGAGAGAAGTCCACCTGTTGACACTCAACCTTCTCAAAGCTTCAAACATGACTTGATAACTTGGATGGTCTTAAGCTTGAAAAACCTTGATGTGCTTCTTTAGATAAGAATGGCACTTGATCCCTTATTGGATGTCTTGCTATGCTATGCTATGCAAATGATTAGATTATGTACATGATTCAATATGCAAATGATAATGCAATTAAAACATAAATCAGGTGAAATAGGTTGAGCAAATTTTAGGGTGCAACAGAGGGCACAGAGTTCCTTTATACGGTCAAAGAGGGCCAGACAGTCGTCCCTGATTTCCTCTAGTTCGACGAAGGCCAGGGGCAGACGACCCAAGATGAGGCTCAACAAGATGAGCAGTGAACCTTTCCTAGTTTGTGCTTTAGTCTGCATGCCATTTGATCAACTTGTAATTTTCTTGTAATTTTATTTTGTGGGGCTTGGCCCCTTTTTATTGTATCACACACAGTTGCGGCCCTTTGTGGTCGTGTTACGTACTATGTATCATTATGTTGTATGTTTATATCTTGTCTAATACTTTCTAAGTGTCCTGCACCATCCAACGCAATCATAAGAGGCATTTAGTAATTTGTTATGTTCCGGGTATGCTCAATGGATGATGTTCGACAGTGCGGGAAACTGATCGAAAGGCCCGAGTTGTTTCCAGGCAGGGCGGAGCTCAGGTCACGATCGTGGCCTGAGTTTGCAGCGTGAACTTTCCATCACGAGCTAGGGGTATTATCGTTCATGGTACCGTGACGACGCCGGGCTCGGTCGAGGAACCGCCATCGAGCATGGGTAGGTCTCTTCGCCTGACCCTTGCTTAGATCCTTTTTGTTGGTGCATCGCTTGTACTTGGGTGTGCGCTTGTGGTCGATTGTCGTGTCCGCCGCCTGGGCAAGGCACGTCGATAGTGGAGGGCCTTAGCTGTAATATTAATTCAACTTTTTGGCGTTCCATGGTCGAGCTAATTCTTCCATGGTGAGGTGTTCTAGGTAGTACGCCCCGTTGTCCATTTTTGCTCTAACGTGGTAAGGGCTCTCCTAGTTTGTGGCGAGCTTTCCCTCTCGGGAATCTTTGTGATTCTTCCTTAAGACGAGGCTGCCCACTTGGAATTCTCGTCGGATGACCTTGGCGTTGTGCATAATCGTTATTTTCTGTTTGAGTGAGGCTTCGCGGAGGGCTGTTCTTGACCGAACTTCTTCGACGAGGTCGAGTTCTTCCCTCAGGGCCTCGCTGTTTGTTTCTTCGTCCAAGGTGTTTCTATTCGCCTGGACAGTACGTGGGTCTTGATGGGGATTGCCGCCTCCGTCCCGTATGCTAGGCGAAAAGGGGTTTCCCCAGTTGATGAATGAGGTGTAGTGCGGTAGGCCTAGAGTACGTTGTGCAGTTCCTCGACCCACTGCCTCTTTGTTTCGTCCAGTCTTTAGTTTAGGCCTCGTAAGATTACCCCGTTCGCGGCTTCAGCTTTCCCGTTAGTCTGCGGGTGCTCAACGGATGTGAAGTGTTGTTTAGTACCAATTTGAGCGACGAACTCTTGGAATTTTTTGTCCGTGAACTGTGTCCCGTTGTCTGTGATGATCTCTTGAGGGATGCCAAAAATGGGAAAGGATGTTTCTCTTGTAGAAATGAAGTATGTTGTGGGCCGTTATCTTGTCTAGGGCCTCAGCTTCTATCCACTTGGTGAAGTAGTCCACGTCCACTATTAAGTATTTATTTTGGTTGGAGCCTATGACGAAGGTTCCCAGGATGTCCAGGCCCCACCAGGCGAATGGACACGGGGAGGACATTGTCTTTAGCTCGTTGGGTGGCTCTAGGAGCATGTCCTCGTGCCATTGTTGCATTTCTTCACATGCTCTTTTGCGTTGTTTTGCATGGTCAGCCAATAGTAACCTACTCACAGAGCTTTCCTCGCGAGGGATCTTCCACCTAGGTGCTGGTCGTTGATTCCTTAGTGGATCTCGCGTAGGACGTGGGCGACCATCTCCTCTTCGACGCATTTGAGAAGGGGTATGGAGAATCCTCTCCTATACATCTTGTTCTCGACCAGAAAGTAGGAGCATGCTCTACGCCTTACTACACTGGCTTCCTTCAAGTCAGATGGTAGTTTATTTTTAGTGAGGTAGTTGTATACTAGGGTCATCCAGTAGTGGTCGTCGCCGACAACGTGCACGTCGAGGGTCGTGGACGTTTTCTCGATGCTAGGTCATGGGAGTATCTCCTAAATGACATATTTGTTTCGTCCCTTCTTCTTCGTGCTTGCTAGTTTTGGTAGGACGTCTTCCCGGACGTTGTGTTTGCGGGGTACGTGTTTCACTTCCACGGAGGTGAACTTTGCAATCTCCTTCTTGACCAGGGCCAGATATTCGGACAAGTTATATTTTTTGACCTGGTATTCTCCTCGGACTTGGAGGGCCACCAGCTGCGATTTGGTGGAGATGATGACTTCTTCTACGCCTAGGTCCTCGGCGAGGCGTAGAACGGCCAGGAAGGTCTCGTATTCTGCTTGGTTGTTAGTGGTAGGGAAGGACAGTGTGAGCGAAACTTCAATGAGGGCCTCCACAATGTGAGTGAAACCTCAATGAGGGCCTCCATGGCCGGGTCGGCGTTGGGCGGAATTGGAATTTATAGTTATTGCGGGACAAAAGGAACCTCGCCATGATCTGTATGAGCGAGGGACGGGGAAGCAGTGGCTTCATCCCTTTGTCGGAGGACGTCGCCACCACGAGAGGTGGTGGCCTCATCAGCACCAGTCTTGCTGACGGGGAGAAAAGCAGAGTTACGAGCATCAAGATTGTTGTCACGAGCGACCATTATCAGAAATTTGAAGAGTTGTTTGGTCTTGTGTTCCCACAGACGGCGCCACTGATCTTACCGGTTGATCAGAACCTGAGATGGGCCAAAGACAAGTGTCTGTGATGCTGAGTGTGAGAGAGGAAGAGGGGTGTACCTACAAGGCACTCTGATGCTAAAGTAAGAAAATGAGCAAGAGAGAGAGAGAGAGCAAGTACGAAATATGAGTGTTTCAGGATGAATATTTTGATACCTGACCCTCTCAAGTGAGAGGGTTTTTATAGTGTCCCCAACGCTTGGCCATTTGTCCCTATTTTCAGGGCAAAATAACTGTTTCCCGAAGAATAGGTAACTCCAGAACTAGCCGTTGGGACAAGCAGAGGTATAGTTACGGGTACAAGCGTCTTACCTGTTTCCGGATGGTGGAGTCGTGCGTGACGGGCAGAGACTGACAGAGAGAGGTGCTGTGACCAAGGATAAATTGGTCAGCCTCCCCTGTTAGAGGGAAGGAAAGGCAAACTCTCCACCAAAGAGGTTGGACTTAGGCAATTGGGTCGTTCTGGGAGAAGAAGTGGATTGGGGTATGCTTAGCCATTGAGCCAGTTCGGAACAACGCTATTTTTATTTTAGGAGAAAACAAAATTTTAAAACCCTAATTTAGTATTGTTAGTATATATTTATATTCTTTCAGAACTTGAACCCTGCACCTCCAATTCCTTTTTTAATCAGTCGTTTTAAGTTTTTAGAGGTCCTGTGTCGGTTAGTTGCAGTTTAATAATGACAAAACAAAAGACCGTATTTAACCATAATTTAGTAATGAACTATTTAATGAGACTCTATTTAACCATAATATAACCATTGCAAATTTTGAATTCTGTGCAGTAATTTGTCGTAGACGTCTTAAAAACAGTCATGCTTTTCAAATATTTCAAGTCAGTTGAACTCCCCTCCCACCCTATAGGGGATTGTTGTGCTTGGATTATAGCAAATTTAGGGCTCACGTGGGTACTAGTGATATAAATTGTGCATGATTCATACTAGTCATTAACTGTTAGCTAATTTAGGTTTTTGTGCATACAAATTATAGAATGTAATGATATTGCCATAAGACATTATATTTTACTAAATTAATGTTATAAATATGTTGAAAGTAGTGTGCATAGTAATAATTAAATGACGCAAATGAAAAAATAGCAATTATTTCTACATTAAAAAAATGAGAATAACATTTATTTTGAAACAATTTTTTAAAATAACAATCATTTTTTAAAACCGAGGTAATGTATCTCTAAACTGCTCTTATAACTAATGCTTAACACTTGTAGACGCCCGTTTTACCCGCACTTTTATGCATGATGAGTTAAAGATTTAGGTTCTTACAGACTCGTAAACAAAATAGTGTCAATACATGCAGACTCGTCTCACCCCATCCTCACTTTTGTGCGAAATACACTAAAATTTTATATCTGCACCTTCAATAATGTCCACCTCGTCCTGTCTCATTTTTTCAGAATTAAACGGGGCGCATGCAATTTTGTCACCCTTATAAATGGGTCAGTATCCTCTCCATTTCTTTGTCTCTCCATTTTCTCCATTATTATAGTTTTGTTGTATATAAAATTAACTAAATATTAATTATATGTCACATGTCTTAGAAATATGTGTTATTTAGACACAAAACTATAGTAATAGAGAAAATGAAAGAACAAAGAAATGGAGTGGATCCCAACTCCTTATAAATTACCGTCACATCTTACTCCGTCCATCATGTTGGTTAAGTGATACATGTTTAATTAATTGATCTTTATTGATCGGTGGGCACGTGATGTGTCCAATAAAATCGATGGCATTTCAACCACATATCCTAAGGTAAAAAAATGTCTGATGTAAATAATTTTGGTCCAAATTAGTCTTCCAACGTTTTTATTATTATTTACTATGAATTTAAATTCTCAGAAAAAAAAAATAGATAGATGTTTTAAGTAGTACTGCTATACACACATTTGTCTTGAGTTTCAATGGCGAACGACCTTCCAAAAGTGCTCGTTCTTGGTCCACCAACCTGCTTCTCAACTCTCGAACCACTTTACTCTCACAAGTTCAATTTCTTGAACCCCAAACCCTCAGGACTTCCCTTGCAGCAATTCATGCTCGCCAACCACCACAACCCATCAACAATTTCCGCAATACTCTGTAGCGGCTTATATGTCGTTTCCGTCGACGTCCTCTCTCTCCTCCCGTCGCTCCGTCTCATCGTCAGCACTAGTGCTGGAACTGACCGCATCGACCTTCACGAGTGCCGTCGTCGCGGAATTCAGGTCGCCGGAGCTGGAGGGGCTTTATCGGAGGATGTGGCTGATATGGCCGTGGCGTTGCTTATTGATGTAATGAGGAAAATAACGGCGGCTGATAGATATTTGAGAACGCGGCGAAACCATTCCGATGCTTGGGATTTCCCACTTGGGTACAAGGTTCGGATTTTTCTTATCTTAATATTATTATACTTTTGTTCTACTAATTGATGAGAAAAAGAAACTTACTTTTTAATTTTAAAATTACAAGATTTTTTTTTATTTAATTATTTATTTTAAAAGATCATTTTCAAAGATAAAATAAAATATAAATTATATTTAAGTTGTATTCTCTTTTATTTTTCCCTTAATTAGTAATTATTTAATTAAAAAAAATATTTTTACAACACTTAAGCTAAAAAATACAAAATGTCATTATATTTTAGTTTTTTATTTAAAAATAAATATGATTTTTATTTTATTTTTGTTTATAAGAAGTTTCGACTAGTGTACAGATATAAGAGGGAGAGATACAAGATTTTTCATTACAATAGATTTGTATGAAGTTTTAATTAATTCTTACCTTTTTTTTAAAATTTTAAATGTATTGACAAAACACATCCAAGAGCTAGCACCCATATGCATGCGTTTTGTAGATGATAAATTAGTATTTAGAGAGTTAAAGAAGGATTTAAATGAGAGGTTCAAAACTTGGAGACGAAATTTAGAAACACACAACTTTCACCTAAGTAGAAGTATTAAGGAGTACATGAAATGTAAATTCAAAAAAATGAGAAGCATTTTCAAACTAGAGGTAAAAGTGAAATAGAAAGGGGTATAAATCATCAAATTTATTCTATGTGGTTGAAATAGAGGAGAGCTTCAGGAGTTTTATGTGACATAAAGGTATCACTTAAGTTGAATGGAAAACTTTTATGATATTGCGATAATATATGCGATGTCGCACTGTCGCTACGCGAAAAATGACACAGAGTCGCCACCGGATTTTATTTATCCCACGGGGGGAAAGGGAAATAGCGATAAAACCTTTGGGAAAAGAGCGTGGTCATCGCAACCAAGTCTTAGGGTTCGGGAGTCGGTTATGCGAGGGGAAGGTATTAGCACCCCCTCGCATCCATCGTACTCGATGGGAACCTCCTAGGTTATTTCGCGTGAATGGGTGTTTTATTCTAAAAGTTTGCTTGTTTAAGGAAAAGAGGGATTGGTTTATTTATTTTAATGCTCGCCAAGGATTGTGGCCCTTGTGCCTACGTATCCTCACTTAAAAGAAGTGAAGAATCAGAGCTCCGTAGTTCGGAGGCTTTATGAAATTGTTGTTTGTTGGTTGATTTTATACCTTGAAAAAGGTTTTTTTGGATTGACGCCCTAAGGCAAAAATAGTTTGATGAGTTGATGTTGTTTTTAGTTTTTTTTTGAAGAAAATGTGTTCTTGACTAGGATTATACAAAAGACTTTGGATAGAGATGAATGTATCGAATAACCAAGTCGAGCGCCTTGTATTCGAAACATTCGAAATGAGTGTAGGAGGGTTCCATTCTCATTCCTTCTCCACCACTTTAAAGTTCATGGTGCATAATTCCAATCATATATTTTATTGTGTTTTTTTTTGTATTTTTATGCGAAAAGAGAAACACTTGATGTTGGATCAAGATTTATTGCTTGTAAAGATATTTGAAGTGATGCGATTTAGGTCGATGGCGGTGCACAAGGCATCCGACTTACATGGTCAAAAATGGCTCGATAAAATCGAGAGTTTACTTTTAAAAATAGTTTTTGGAAACAAAGGTCAACAAGGGCCATAACAATATTCACATACAAACATCATACAAACATAAGCCACACGGCTCAAAAAAATCGAGACACACAAAAAAAACGGCACGGCGAACTCTTTGAAAAAATTTTTTTTAAGGTAAAACCGGTAAAAAAAATATGGAGGAAACAGTGGTGTGACACGGGTGAAAAAAGTTGAAACAGTGATGCAACACGCCCGGCCGTGTTGTGTGATATGGCCCGTGTTGCAAGGCCTGGGGAAAAAAACTTCATACAGTAGCGTGACACGGTCGGCCGTGTCGTGTGACACGGTCGGCCGTGTCGTGTGACACGGTCGGCCGTGTCGTGTGACACGGCCCGTGTTGCTGGTCCAGGTCGAAATCTCACATTTTTTTTTTTTATGTTTTCGTTTCGTTTTTGTGGTTCCTTGAGGATGGTTTCTTAGTCCCTTAGGGGATCTTACATGATATACAGTTCAACAACACATAAAAGAGTGAATGAAATGAATATAAAAGCAAAGAATAAAAGGAGAAAGATTTGAAGAAATGGATACCAAGAGCTTTCTATTCTTCTTGCAAGTACTCCAATGACCTTTGTTGGATGTGCTCTCCCCTCTTCACTCTATGTTGTGAAGGTTTGGTTTCTCAATGATCCTCTTGTGTCTCTATCTCACTCTCTTTTTTCTGTTTTTTTGGGGGTTTCTTGCTAACTATTTTCTGGTTTTTTGCTCTTACTCTTTGCTCTCTATGTGTAGTCTCTACTCTGCTTGCTTCTTGTGTTCTGTTCTGTTTTGATAGTAAGGAATACTATGTTTTCTATGCTTGCTTGCAGCCCATTTCCCACCTTTTCTGTCAACTTTTTTATGCTGTCCTAAAGCCACACACTTTGCACACCTTTTCATCACCAACTTTCCATTCTTGGCAATGCCTTTTTCTTCCTTTTGTGCAGCCCCACTTTTCCCTTCTATTTCTAGTATGACTTGCTGCATTTTTCTGCTGTAGCATACTATACTACTATCCCTCTTTTTGCCCATTAGTCTCTTGGATGGTATTGCTTTGTATCTTGCCATGTAGCCAATTGTTACCACTCTTTGACAGCATTTGCAAACTGATATTTAGCAAGTAAATATATCACTTGCATGCTATTTCCTTAACTTTGTGACATAAAAAATGATCTTGTAACATAGTACATGTTGTCCTCTTGATTTTGTGACATGTAGTAATTCTTCAACTCTTGCATGGGGCTGTTTTGCCTATGATTGAACATGCATAATCTTGGCCCATAAACATTCCAATGTTGATTTAATTCTTGCATATTTCTTGGATGTTTGTGAACATGATGTAGCACATGAAAAAAAATGGTGTAGTATGAAGAGTACCATATCATAGATTTGATTAAAGACTTGAATGAAGATTTAGAAATAGATCAATTTCTAAACATTATCTAGAGTTGGAATTTTTGTAACAAATGACATGATTGTAATGTCACAAAATTCCTCTTAGTATTATTTTTATCTCCATTCATGAATATTGAATTTTGGATGATGGATTCCCTCATGTGCTTAAAAATGAAATCTTGAATTATGCATTGATGATCTTGATTCATGCCTTAATAATTTGCACTCCACTTATGCCATAAAAATAAACATGTATGAAGGAGCTTTGGATTTGGCCTAGCATTCATGTCTATTAATATTTATCTTGAATATCCTTGTATTTTGTCAAGTAACTTCCCCTTGCCAAACTTTTCATGAGTAGACTTTTTCCTTAGATCAAACCTTAGGTGATGAACCTTTTTTCATGTAGTCCGAAAATAGACAAGTTACAACCAAACGGCCTAGTTCGTACCTTGTGAACCCGCATGCTCGATACACAATAGAATGATGTATGATATGCCGAATGTAGGGTATAAAAGGCTAACGGTGAAAATAAGGGTGTGACAGCTGCCCCTATTTAATCCTCTTGGACCTGAATGTCTGAAGGATAAAGGTGCTCGAGCATTCATGGTAGAAGAGAATTAAATACTAGAATACCCGGGATTTTCAACTTTGAGACGTGTGGAAAGTAGACAATCAGTGATATGGTTTGAAAAAGGTAAGGTGTTTGTCAGCGCAAGAAGGTATGAGGGATATGATGCTATGTTTGAGATGCAATGCGGAATGGACATGAGTGCTTTGCCAGCCGGGAGAGGAAGCACCTCGTGACGGGGAATCATAATTGGCTAAGAGGTATTCCTTCTACAAAAGATAGAGAGGACTCTAGAAATTGGATTGTGAGATATTCCTTCTACAAAAGATAGAGAGGACTCTAGAAATTGGTTTTCCCCTTGCAAAAGGCAAAGAAGACTCCAGAACAAAAGGTTTGGAGAAAATGCTTCCTTCTACGAAAGGTAGGAAGGACTCCGAAATAAAAGGTTTGAAGATAAACATAAACTCCTTCTGCATCATGTAGAGGAGACTCCCTTGGGAGAATACAATCGCATTTCCTTCTGTCACGGCAGAAAGGACTCCAGAACAAAAGGTTAGGAGAAAAAGTTCCTTCTACAAAAGGTAGAGAGGACTCCAGATCAAAAGGTTAGGAGAAAAATTTTCTTCTACAAAAGGTAGATAGGATACTCCCTTAGGAGAGGATGATCGTATTTTCTGGCTGCAAAAAGCAGAACAGGCCCCTGAACAAAAGGTTAGGAGAAAATATTCCTTCTACAAAAGGTAGCGAGGATACTTACGAAAGGTAAGCTGACAACAAACTGGTACAAAAGGTACGAGATATCTTACTAAAGGTAAGTTGAATCAGTTGCAAAAGGCAAGCTGGAGATACTTCGAGAATACTTACAAAAGGTAAGTTGAGGGCAATAACCATCCTTAAAGGATCCTGCCAAGATGTTCGCAGGGAAAATCGCGTATTTTTGAGAATGATTGGCTAAGCACTCATGAAATGATGCAGCATGTTATGCAAAAATGCTAAGGACGTAAGCATTATGTAGGTTATGGGTGATGATTTATGCCAAGTGATCGGGCTTTTGGTTTGGGGCGTCAAGTTTAGCTTCCCGACTTTCTTGTGATCATTTTCGGATGATCTCATTAGACAAGCTGTGCTGGTCAGTCAGGCTGCCCCTGGCTTGGTCAAGTCCCGATGAACTTTATGATCAGACGATGTTTTGTGTACACATGCGCCTATTAGACATCGCATTTATGCTTCATACACCTTGATCGGAGAGCAACTTTATGTTTCCCTTTGTGTTTAATATCAACCCATAAATTCACAATGCAATATTTGTCAAGAATGAAAATTCCACTTTTTGCAAACAACAATAAAAAATAAAAGAAATGCAAAGCACGAATTGATGAAAGATATTTTATTGATGATAAAGGGACCCGTAAATGGGTAATC